TTCACTGTCTTCCCTGATTCTCAGTAGCCTAGCATCAACCACACTTGTCCTGACCGCCCCATCCCATCGATGTAGAGACATCCTCGCCCACGCGTTCTTTCAAAATGGAGACGTCAATTGCACGGCTACTGACCCTTCCGTAGTTTGGAGCCGTCAAGGATTGTGATGGCTTCAGTAGGTAGCTGAATAGACCCGCGTTGGGAAAGCGATTGAATGGCGTAGATGGTTTCAGCCATTGGCTTGGACTTCTGGCCCAGGGCTATCCCAAATCGACAGAATTCAATAAAAGCGTGCCTCACCGTATTACTACTCTCCAGGTGGTGCACCAAGGTGTAGAAGACTGCCTGAACGATACCAATCACTTGGCTAGGAATGAGCCAGATTCCATAGGACTGACGATGGATACGAAGGCACTGGGCTATCTCCTCGGCTTGGGCACACCATTTTTGCTGCAACTGAGCAATCATCGATCCTTGTTGGTCACGCTCGATCAACATTTCGACTAGGTGCATCATCGCGTGGAGGCCTTTGACACTTCGTTCAAAGTCAGCTCGGATACATTAGAAAGGGGCCAGAAAATTGCTCACCGTAGGATCAGAAGTTGGGGAATTGGCTCCTTTCGAGTCTGCGATGCATCTCGCCAATCCGCCAACCACTGTTGCAAACGGTTGTATGGGTCCTCTACTCTCACATACAATGCAGTGAAGCTCATACTTAGCTCCTCATCGTCCAGGAGATCTTCGACGTGTAACATGATATCAGTCATCTCGGCAAGGCCTTGCCGGATTTGAGGGAGATGAGCTCGCTTGGCGGCATACATGATCTGGTTCGATCGTGGATAAGGTATCCAGTCAAAGTCATGGTCACCCGCAACGTCTATCCTGGATGCAGGCTTTGACAATGTTGCGACCTTCTGCAACTTCATTGACATTTGTCTGTAAGATTGATCAGTGCTCGCTCCCTTCTCTGCTTTGGCACGACCACTAACTGATTCAAACTGAAGATCCCCCAGGCCGTGATCGCCCGAGCACGTTCCATTTCAGAAGTCATATTCTCTCTACATCGATGCTTAGCTCTTGGCAGCATAAACAACCCAATGTCATGTGCCAGTTGTATGGCCTGTTGCAGCATCAACCAGCTGAGATTCGCCTTTCCTTGGTATGACAATCTGCCATAATGTTAGCATTCACATCAGAAACCACGACCGATACGTGCCTCCTAAAGGGTCACATACACACAACACATCATGACAAGGGCTTGGATGCTTGATAATGCTGAACGCCCCTCTTGAGCTTTCCACAACCTTTCGGCTTCGGAGAAGAAATTTCGTCCACGAGAGAAGGCATTTTCTGGATTGGAAAATACCCCCCCGGCTGTCAGAATAGACCTGTTGGGCATTAGAAAAAAAACCTAAGAATGGGTAGAATAACAACTGGGGCCGCATACGCTTGCCATTGAAAGGAGACTGTTTACTAGGAGCGGCGAACAAAACTCCGAATCCAGGTCCCCCCCGTCTCATGTGCTCGAGGAAAATACCTTGATCAACAAATTGTGCACACGGATGATCCCACGTGAAGTACAGGGAGACCAGGTGCGACACAAGATCATTGTCATGGGTGGCCCCCGTCCACGGTTTTGCCGGCACCCTGTACGGCGGGATATCACAGAGACTTTCCAGAGTTATTCGTGCGTATGGATCTAATATGGCCCGCGGAGATTCTATGTGACCATCATCTTCTGGAGATGGGGGCACTAGGTCGAGTTCTGAAGAGAGTCGGGATTTTGTCACGAACTGCTCACTTAATGGTGACCCAAGCCGATGGCTCCCATCCCTTGACATCGTCGAATTACTGGTAGATGAGGGTTTTGAATCGGGGAAGTTTGTCACAGAACTTCCCACGGCATGAGCTATGTCCTTCATCGGTAAATTGTTTCTGATTATCGCAGTGACCTCGCTGAGCTGGTCTGCATTTGCCAGCCGGATTGTCGACAACAATGAATCGAACAGGTCTTTGTAATCGGATAACTCTTGTATTGTCCGCTTCACGGCTACTTTCCGTCTTAGATCGCGGCTTGGATGGAACTGACATTCGTCTTCGGAGCCAGCGTTTAAACAAGCTTTACACGGGGATGGAAGTCCTGAGCACTATATCTAACAGACAACGATTAGCCATTGATCCGAGTACCATATTTGATACCCTCAAGAGAAACCACACAGCTTGTATCTGGCGACAGGCCACTTGCCTTCCTTTTTGCTGCTTTGCAAGCTAGACAGGCTGTGGAATTTTTCTTTGGCCGGCGGGTGGCCATCGATGATTGTGCAGAGAATATGGGCAGTGGGCCGGGGCCAATTGGGAGAGCAGCTTGGAACTGTCACAATGGCTCGTATTAAGGCCCAGCGAGTGGCTTGTCTCGTGGGTCAATGGTTTCTGCGCCATCGTATCTATCCTAGCTAATCGAGAATCAACATCATTTGACCCCGTATGGTGATGGAGGCTGCAAGAGACGACAGTCAGTCTAGTGTACCGGTCGTCTTCGAAGACGCAAAAGAGCAAGACATGCTGTCAGCAGACAGCACCACATGGCACATACACGATCGAATTCAAAATTCCAGGAACTTGCCGATACAGTATCAGAGGGGGGGTGAGGGTCATCTCATCGGGTTATTAATCGTCAAGGTGCGCTTAATGAATTTTTCTTGCAGCGGGACTCGGTAAAAAAAAACTGGTCTGAGAGCTAGCTGAGACGATCAAAGGTGGCATGCAGGTGACAATAACCAAGAAATTTAGGGGCTCATCCTTCAGCAAACACAAGGGAGGTTTTACAGCTTTCACACAACCAGGGTGGCTCGGTGGCCCAGGATGAAAGTCACAATGATTAGAGAACGAAGATCCAGTAGCCTGACAATCTCGCCCCGTTGACGGTATTGAGCACAAAGAGTGGTGGCGGGCTAGGTGGTGCACTGTCTGAAATCCGTTCAGCGCGAGACTTGCGTCAAGCAGCCGAAACATCCCCGAAGCTGTGAGACGTACCCGCTATGTTGAAGTGGAGATTCCAAAAACTAGCGGCACTTGACAAGGATCTCGGAAACAAGACCCACCAAATGAAAGGATGAGGTCTCGTTTAGGCCTTGGGATTGTGGCCACAGTACCCACCCGGAACTCAAGGCTCGAGACTCGAGGGAAAGGTTGATGTCCTATCGATCTACCCTGGACCAACCAATAATGATCATCATTCCTCCGTCCTCTCGCAGGGCAGCACAGGGCACCCGAAATCTCTACTTTGTAGTATCCTTCCTTTGCCTGATTTGGCATATGAATGTTTGCCCGTCAGTATGAGACCTGGTCGCGCAACGAGGCTGTAGGATCTACTGCAACGCCATATGCTTGCCATTTAACCCATCCATTCTCAGACTCTCGTCAAAAAATGACCGATCAATTGACCGCTCGATGCACCCTAAAAGTGCAGCCTCCACACGTGTGCGTCACCGTGCCACGGTTATGATGAACTGTCCGTGGCGATTGAACCAGATGCATCGCCGAGTTCAATGGATCTGCTAGCGATTGACACCGGTCGCCTGCTCTTAAATTACTCGACTCCACTCCCTGACATCAGCCTATCAAAAGTCAAAAGTACAATGTTTTGGAAGTTTCAACGTGGCTGCAAGCTTGGAGCTGCTACTTGAATCATTAAAACCAGATCTGGCCCCGGGAAAGTTTTCCACCGCACAAGGTAGGTTACGAAATTTCCCATCAACCAGGTTGATGGGAACGACCACAAGTTGGCGCTCTGCTTCACGAAGTAGTACACGTGATACACGGCATGTACCGGGGAGAAACCGTACTCCGGGGGGTGATGCGGCACGGTAGTTTTGGTCAGTACGTGGCGCCTGTATTAAGCGACAGTACGGGAGGATATTCCTTTACGGAACAAGACCAGACCTACACCTCCACAGCCCGTAATGGTCTGCAATATCTGCCGTACTGTTGACCGTCGACCTGCAAGGATTTGAACTCTCTTCCGGCGGTGGGCACTTTCCATCATTCCGCTGTCGATTGGGCGGTCCACATCCGTCCAATCGGATGCGGGGTTCCGTTGAACTTTTGTCTTGGCACTTTTCTTGATGGTGTGTTATGCAGCGCGCTCTACCATGAGCAGAGCGTTAGCCCCGTATGGGGCCGGCTTCTCATGTGTGGCAGTGGCAGATGCGATCCATCGTTGCTGGTCGCTCTATGTAAGCACAAAACGAATTGTAATCTGGGTTCAGTCCTATCTTAGAATCCCTTGAATCATATCGGGACTACCTTATTTGTAAATTGCTCACTAGCAATAGATAGCAGCCCATCAGTGCCACAGAGCCAGGATGAAATGAGGATAAAATCCAGAAGAGAATCAACTGATACTTCGAGATTCCATGACAGCGAAATGGCACGCACGATTGGCCGGCTTTTTACCGGTATCTTATAAAAGGCTACGTGGCATATAAGAAGGTAAATCAGGCACGGACCCGCTTGTTCCGATTGGGAGAAATATACCCAGGTCGTTGGCAGAACATCGAAATGAGAAAAATAAACGAAAAGCTTTATGAAGGGTTCAAAATGTTCCACCTTCCATCATTCTTCTTCTTTCTCTTCGGGCCTTTCGACGGGGTTGCACTCGTGGTAGATTCTGCAAGACAAGGTGGCCAGAATACAACAAATCAATTAACTCAATCCTTGTAAGGCTGACCGTTTTATCCTTCTCCTACTCTCATGAGTCTCCGAATCTGCGTCTCCCATCTCGTAATAATTCCCATCATCCATTTTTATTCATTACTCTCGTTATTCCTAAGTGCTGACCATCTTCGTCATGAAAGCATATGCAAGGGCCCGACTCGGGAAGCGCATATCGTCCACAAACCAGTCTCGCGGAAACTTCTCGCGGTCAACTCTGCCACAATCTGAATTGCTTGATCTCTCTAGCATCGCCACAGCCAGTGAATCAGCACCAAATAGCTAGACATGTCAGATCAATTCGCTACCAGCGATCTTGGCAGCAAAGAAGGCTTAGCCGGGGACAAGCTCAGAGAAAAAGCCTCGCTGGCGGCATCAAGGTAAGCAGCCCCAATCTTCTATCTTGTATACAGTTTGGTTATTTCTATCCCTTTTTACCACCTACCTTGGCCTCGGATGATGCGAGGGTCTTTTTTTTCCTGAATCAAAGGCTGAACCGGTCCTGGATTTGAAACAGCTTCAGAGCAACCGCAGCAGACAACCAGACTGTCCCCTCTGACTATATAGAGACAGAATTCCAACACTATAATTCCCTTCTCATCCAGTTGCTAAACATTATCTCGCATGGCGAAGACGAGGATATGTCCCGCATGATTTCCGTTATCCGCTCGGGCGCATCCCATCGCCAGATCTTCGACTTTATCAAACAACCCCGACAACCAAACGAGATGAAATAGGTCATTCATGTCTTAAATCATGCCCTTCCCTGGGTCTATAAGAGACCATTCTGATGAGGTAGGGAGGGGAGTTGGGGGCGAGAGATCCAGATCAAGTGATCTTGTAGCAATCGTGGAAGCGAGGAATACTTCATGAGCATCATGTCAACGAGTATCTGTCCTCGTAACCCAAGTTGTATGTTTCATAATGCTGATATAAGCTTGATTTCTTCCTTCTGAGTATCAAAAGGTGTTTCGGGTCATCTGTCTAGTATTGAGTTGAATTCCCGAATCGAAGTCAGTCCCGGCTCGGTGTGTGGTAAGTCGTCCTATCTCGCGTTCCTTTCCGACCAGAATGCCAATAACTTAACTGCCGCTCTTGATAAAGCAATACCACTATCAAAATGATAACAGTGATCCATTCAGGTTTTCCTGGCTCGGGTTCATTGTAACAAGCCTGCCCGAGAATATCTTGCATCATACACAGCGAGAAGTTTTCTGACTAGCCCTGCTATTTAAAATTCCCCCTTTTTAATTTCGAAAATAGAACTTCTGGTGACACTGCCTGATTCGTGAACTATATCTATTTGGGGGTGAGAAAAGGAGACCTGAATGGAAAGGAGATCCCAACGTTGTCTGCAAGTGAGCGGAAGTGCAGGAAATGCATATTCGGAGTCCAAATAGGAACTTCTGAAGGACAACAAAAAATATGTGTACTCCAATAGGAGTATACCATCTCATCTCCCTAAATCGTAAAAGGACGGTGAGAACGGGGTGTTTTCTGTAGAGTTGGGCCGGTATAGTGAAAGTCGAAAACATTCTCCTCCGACACACGCCATGTTTCTCGGGCCGTACCTGAACCACATTAAACCGCGTCAGGTTCTCACTAAAACCAAATTACTGTTGAAACGTATCGTAACTCCACGTATTACTTTCAGCGATGAATAGAGTAATTGTAAAATACTGTAAATACCTTCGCAGGCTTTAAACATGGTTGGAAGTAACGCTGAGAGATCTGGCAATCTAGCAAAATCGCCGCCGAGCTGAGTTTCCCTTCATCCATTGACAGGCACGTCGACACTCAAAGTCGCGTTAACTTCCCAGAGAAGTTCCCTGGAAGGATGCTTTTATTCTTCACGCCGATTATTGCTCACTGCTAGCTCCAGTGCTCTCTCCCTTTGACTGACATACGACCTAGCCGTGTCTGGACTATTTGGTGACGCGAGCCCGCGCCATGTCAAGTTTACACCTTCATAAGTCAGCATTGAGCACCAATCACCAGTGAGAAGAAAACTTGTTTCTGCCTGGTGCAACACCACTGCGTCATTGTTCCTGAATCACCGGGGGTAGTAGGTATGTTTCCTGGCCCCGCTTCGTTTCCGCAAATTTCATGAAAGTCAATAGCACTATTCCGTCTACTCTTACAGCATGATTTGCTCTATTGCTGAGGCTTACTCTACGGCGATCTCTTTATGGAATCTTCCTTATATATATCTTGCTCTGTGTCAGTAATTGGGCTCGCCAATAGCCCCATTTATTTATTTCTTCTTGTCTTTCCATCTCAATCCAGGTATGTTGATTTGAAGAGATCTTCTATTTCTTGTTACACTATTGAAGTCCGCATATAAGCTAACCGCTTTGATTCACAATAGGTCTCCCTGAGTTATCGAGATTAACGCGACGCAATAACCGCTACAGCCACCCAACTGGATCGTCTGCTAGCCTCTCTAGCCAAAGCCAGCATGAACACCACTTGCTCAATTTATTGTCGCCGGTGCCTAAAGAATTATAGTCAAACGATGCTCGCACATACTCAGTCTCAGATTTCAATTCTGGTTGGACTAGATGAGTATTCCAAAAGGACCAACAAGGACGCAGGTCGTGTAACCTCCAGCGATGTGCCACACCATCAGCACCCTGATCCTCAGAATACAGACATGATAGAAGAAGACAGAGACTCATTACTAAGGAAATAGATTGTTCTCAATTTTGAGCTATACAGCTTCTGTTCTGCTAGTTCAATGCAGTGATTAATGTATCGGTGCACCTGGTCAAAAGCGGAAATTTGTAAATTCTGCTCTTCCATGACCAGTGTCCTATGCTGATCCCAAAACAGTTGCATTTGGATGGAAACTTCATGTAATATAAAGAGCTCACACGTGACACGGCTGTTATAGAGGAAAATGTATCAATTACTTAGAAAATTCTCGTTGTTACCTGAGCCAGCAGCACTTTAGCGTAGTTTCGGCACATCCTGAGAAACATGGCATGTGAGCGTCCGCGGGGAATCTGTTTTAGACTTTCACTGTATGAAATCATGGAGGGGCTCTTAATCTGAGATGAAATTTCTGGAGACAACTCTGCCCGACCCGGACGTCCATCCATGGCTAAAACAGCTTCTTGCACTGAGGCTATATAACAGGAAAGATACCCTAAGTTACCCTTGAACCTTGTGATGGCTTCTCATTCATGATGAGAAAGGTAGAGGCCTGAGTTCTGAGCCATGCCATTGGAACAATGGGTCTGATCTGTACGACATACTTTCTGGGTGCAAATCCCGAAAGTCGCTGGGTGAACCAGACCAAGCTTGTGGCGCTGTAGACAACGTGCTATTAGCTGCGACAAAGTAGCTAACCAGGTCATAAGTGTCTCGTAAACCTTTCATCGTCATGTTCGTACGGTTTGCATCCCGGTAATATCTCATTTGTCGTTTGAAAGCAGCATGAATCGCTCGAAAGCTCCCTGGATGTTTAGAGTCTGCCAGGAATGCGGCTTGAGTTTCTTCTTCGCTGAAATGCTTCCTCTCCATGAACCATGATGGTAAGCATTCCAGGTCTTGAGCAACCCATCGGCGATTTCGAGATCTGGATTTTTCGCTGTCAGATCTAGTCAGTTGTATGGCATGGATTGTGTTACTTACTCGATTGAGGTCTTTTCGTAACCTGGGTCTGCATCGGTGCGATTGTCATTATCATGGCTTTTGTTTCGCTCTCCATAAAAGTGATCAGAACATGTAGCCCCTGGGTCAGTGATTATGGCATCCACCCATCAGATTGATTCCGCCGGGATATTAAGAGACATCATCTCCGGTTGACCTTTTTCAGGCGCCGTGATACCTTGAAGGTGAGACTCGTGTTGTTCTCTGGAAATATGATCAATGCCATTTTCGCGGGAGTTGGCGCGTGTCGGCCATTCCCATCCGATAGATTGGTATTTTCTCTGGTCGCGGAAACCTTGTCGCCGTATTGTTATGATTTGCCATATATCCGGCTTTCGAATCTAAGAGCGCAGGCCTTATAGTCAATGGACCCTTTTGAACCCGCTTATTCCACATCATGCCATTGAGGGAATCTTCGACATTGAGCCCTAGCTCATGAGAGTAGCCCAGTAGTTCGAACCATACATTTACACATTTACTCTTTGCTCCCTGGAGAGACTTCCTGCGGTTCCCAGTGCCCTCGCCGGTGCTTTCATGCAGATAAGTATGGCGGAAATTCTCTGTCTGTGGATAGAGATTCTCCAGACAAGGCCTTGGCTGGCCACTGAGGCTCTGGTTTTGCCCAGGAGCCCTCGTGGGGATCGAAAAAGGTGGACCTGGGCGGGTCACTTGCCGAAAGAATGGGCGATATAGCTTTTGCTTGTGTCGCATTCCCAAGTAGGCTCTTCCAAACAATTTATGCGCCATTCTTCTCGAAACCGGCATTGCCTTCCTCTGGTATAGTAGCCGTCTGATAAGCTTTTCGAGAAGCCTACTTCGGCATTTCCTCCTGGACCACGTTAGATGCGATCCTTTGAGCTCCTTTAGGAATGAACACGCTGTCCCGACTAGACTTCTTCTGTTAGTAGCTTCCACCGATCCTGAATCTTGATTATGCTGGCCCTGCCCTAAAATCAGGCTTGGTGGGTCTCTATCAGAAGGTTCTGGTTTCTCCATTACTTTAAAGGATCGTGGAGCGCTCGAGCTCGCCGACGAACTTTTCTGATTATCTTATTGTTGACTTCCATGACTATAATTCAGGCACTTGCCAGTCAGTAAAGGCACAATTATTTCTAATGCCAGATAAGACTTGAGCTAACTCACCTTTTGATGTAAGCTGATTCGAGATAGCAGCCATTTCAGTCATGAAAGACAGTGTATATAATTCTGTTTGGATGTAGTACCAAGGTTGAGCCAATTTCTGTGGTAGTCCGGAAAGAACCATATTATGATGGAAGTCGGACAGCTCGGCAATTGCTTTGAAGTCATCCAGATAATTATGATAGACCTCGGCTTCTTTGTATTCGATCTTGTTTCTGCATGCAGTCATAACATCCAGCCAAGTGATTGACGCCCGCGTCATGCCATTTTCGAGCTAGGTGGTTTTCGAGCTTCGAGAACCAAAAATGACATCTATTCCTTTCATAAGATTGATACTGACCATTGGGGCGCTGAAGATAGCCGCGAAGCTCGTGTTTCTTCGGAATTGATTCAACAGTTCCTGCGATGCTTCCAAGGCCAAGCAAAGTCTTTCTTGTCGCGGTTGAAACTGTTCCAGGAGAGTTTCTCTAATCCTCATATAATCGCCGCCTTGGCGGTAATCTAGCCCTTGGTCCTTCTCGGAAGCCATAGAATCAATTTTGCGACCGATAGACTCTTTACGGTCACGGTTAGCTCTGATCTCGTGTTGACCGTTGTCCTCTTATAGAAAGTAATTGAGATCAACAAGTACAGGTGCTCGTGAATCGAGACTTTCTGCCTGCCTCGTGACGCCAGGGAAGATGTGGTGGGTATGAAACGGAAATAAAATGGTCTTTTGTCAGAACTCAAGTTTCCTGAAGAGTGGGACACTTATAGCCCATAAATCTTCCTTAACGGAAGAGAGCCGGCTTTGAAAAGCATAGGAATGCGCAGGCCAGTATATTTGACATGGCTCCGCCGACGCCATAGTCTCAACGGTGGCAGCACGATTAGATCGGTTTGCTGATTATGAAGCATCATCGAAATCAACGTTTACACATCGATGTCACTGGTGGAAGCTTTTATGCACATCACGCTCTAGAAATTATGATTGTCGATATGTTCTGGGAGGTTCTGCTGCCCTGGGCTCGTGACATCAATTGGGTCTCATTGTGGAGATAGACTGCACCTCCTGTCGCACTGTGAAAGCATTGTCTTTGCATTAGATATAGGATCATCGAGGAATGTGACGTAGATGTGATCGTCTGTTTGAGTCTGTTTGAGCGTACGTCCACATGTGTGAGATACTCCTGAAATACTGTGTTCAAACGGGGTAGCCCACTTTCCCACACACGTTTCGGAGCCTACAAGCATTGAGGTCAATTAAGAAAAAGTAAATGGGAAGTCCAATTTTTAGACTAAATAGGGGTCTCTTTTGATTGGGGTTGCCATGTTCAGGTACATCTCAATTCAGTAATTTCCCAAACATAAAATCGGACCGATCCATGAGTCGCGCCTCACGAGAACTCAATCTGCAAGAATTGTTCCACCTCCGAAATCAGGTCCTTCTCGATACATTTCACGAGTCTTCCGATCACGTCCGGAAGTGTAATCAATCGGTGGTTCGGTGGTTCACGGAGAGGTGATTTAGGCAAAGAAGTTTGAAACGGAGTAGTTTGCTGTGGCTGCCTTTGCTTTATGCTTGGCTTGGGAAGGGTTTTCTGTAGGAATCGGAGGAGACCACAGAGCTTCTCTGCGCCAGGACTTTTGCTGATGCAAAGGCAGAATTCGATAGCGGAATAAACCATCTCAAGCAGAATATCTCTGTCTTGGGCCAAGCGATTAACAGCGGCGTGGCGAATGCCGGCGATCGAATGGCGCAAGTTCTGAACAGTGGTGATATTTTCATGACATTGCTCGGACGAGATCTTCGATCGGTTTCTAGCTAAGAATGTGAAGAACTTGTGCAGCTCCAGCGCCTCAGGGCATGTCCAGCCAACAGCCGAAGATTGTGGAAGAAGCCATTTTTGAACAAATTGGAAGGCGGAAAGCTCAAGATGACGCTGTAGAGTTTGGAGAATCATATGTTGCGCGCGAAAGGGGATAGGCACTAAAGGTAGTCAGTCCTAGCATGGGGAACAGAATCTCTATGAACTCTATCACCGTAATTAGCGAAGGCACTCCGACCTTTAGCTTTAGCTTACCCTTAGCTTTCAATCCCCGGCAATGTTCCAAAAAGCGTTTCAAAGACCTGCGACAGTCAATGGAATTATCCAATTTCGAGAAAACCCCGAGGTGATTTACCGGTAGCTGATTGATTGTGGAGACGATGAATGCTGGGCAGCAGCGAAGTCTCCATTGGGGCTGGAGGAAACCATGTTCCGACGGCGGAGGCGGCGTCGACATCTCTTCATCGATGGTACCTTTTCGGCCGGTTTATAGGTGTAGGCACACGAGAAACCCTGGTCATCCTGTGCTGGCAGGTGAAATAGAGATTTGGGCGGCATGTGGCCTTGCAGTGACCGCGACTTGCGGCGGAATATATGACGGCCAGGCTAATGGAGTGAATGGATGGGGGAAAGCAGTTTTTCTCAGGGAGGCGAGGGCAAAAAGTTTGCAAACAGAATTTTCAGTGGGCAGGCAAGCGATTTGCCAAGGCGAGTCTTCCATGGAACGCTTCTACATATTAGCTGCGTAAAAGCTGTTTCACCTCGTTGAGCAACGTTGAGACCGATGATTTGCAAATTGATTGGCTACGGTGCGAGCGAATATTGGCAGACTTCTGAAGCTACGGAGATTAAGCTGCCACGGCGAGTGGCCCATGGAATGCCACTTCGATCTACACCTCATACCACCTGCGCTAAAGGCCGTTTGACCTAGGTCAATCAACGTTGATGAGGCAAATAATTTGTCACGCATAGCTTCGTGCCAACCACGGCTCCAGGTGGATCCAGGTGGATCCAGCCACTCCACCCGCTCTCCAGCCCGAACGCTTGAAATTTCTTATTTCAACGTTGAATCAACCGCCTCAACACCCAGCAAAATTGCGGTCGCCCGGTGTGAATTTCGAGCGGAAATCTCTGGGTACGGCACGATGTACGCAAGTGGTCGCTGCCGAAGGACGTATCCGAAATGACATAAAAGACGATCTTTTCCTGTCGAAAAGAAAAGCAGGACTTTCCTCCTCACACTCCCGGGCAGTCGGGTTTTCTTCGCAGGATAAGCTCTGCATTACCAAGTGTTCTTCGCAGGATAAGATCTGCATTACCAAGTGTGCTTCGCAGGATAAGCTCTGCGATATCAAGTGTGCTTCGCAGGATAAGCTCTGCGTTACCAAGTGTGCTTCGCAGGATAAGCTCTGCGTTACCAAGTGTGCTTCGCAGGATAAGCTCTGCGATATCAAGTGTTCTTCGTGGGAAAGGCCCCGCGTAATCAAGTCTGCCTCGCATGGGGACGCTGCGTTACCAAGGGAGACCCGCAGGAGAGTGCTGCGTCAACAAGTTCTCCCTCGCAGTGATGAGCCCTGCGATTGTAAGAGTGTGCTCCCTCACAGCCAACGAGCCCTGTGTTGTATAAATATGCTCCCTCACAGCCAATGAGCCCTGTGTTGTATAAATGCGCTCCCTCACAGCCAATGAGCCCTGTGTTGTATGAGTGTGCTCCGCGGGGACCTCCGCGACATCAAGAGCCTCCGCAGGGGGACACTGCGAAACCAAGGTAGACCCGCAGGAGACCGCTGCGACACCAAGTTCTCCCTCACAGCCTTGAGCCCTGCGTTATCAAATATGTGCTTGTTAGGCGACCTGCGGCGCTGCAGTCCTCGTCCTGATCCTCTGACGATTGCAGGCACCTCTTCGTGGTGTCAGAGACTAGTATTCGGGGGGAGTCCTCGAAGAAGCCAAGGCCTGCTCCAGAGAATCAATAGAATCAAGAATCCAACAAGACATGGTGTAAAATGACTTCAGTATTGTATGTAGATGCCGCCGTACATGGCCCTGGTTCGAAAAATGCACTTTGTAGCGCTCAGCCATGCCCTGAGCTTCAAGAAGAGACATTTTCTTCCACGCAGTGTGAATTCGAGTATCGAGCCATGGCTGATAGCGGGGTGGCCAATCCGGGTGGCGGCTGAAATCCAAAGATATCCATTGGTGAACACTTGTGCCTGCTGGCTGGCAGTGGCACCAGGTTTGGTCCGGATGTAGGGAGATGCGGAGTGTCGATGGTGAGTGGTTGGTGTGTCGGTGTGTGATGGTGTTGACGGGTTTATGGTGAGAGTATGTTGACGGTGAGGGACGGTGAGGGACGGTGAGGGCCAAAGGTGAGTGAGGGTTGAGAGTCAGAGCTGGTGAAAACGGGGCCGGACCCACTGGTCCCTCTGTTGATGTGCAGTGCGGGTGACTCCCGGGCGGTGAAGTGGCGGCCAACGGTAAACACCCGTCCCGTCATACTCACGAATGCAAAAGCTGATAAACAGTGCGAAATGATGGCTCTAGAAATTAGATCCTATTTGTTAATACATTATCCGAACGGTCTTCTGTATGACGTTTTCTCGGCTCAGGCATCGTCGTGCTCTTTGGCCATATTCTGTACAATATCTGAGGTAGTGCTGCCAAATGCTGGTTCGATACGAGTAATATATATGTCCCCAGGCCAATCCCATTAGGTACATTATTGGCGGTAAAATCGGCAAAGAACTAGTAGGGGACCAGTGATAGAAAGCCTAGACCTTCTAAACATATTTCAGATATCATTTTGTCTCGGCCTGATCGAATGAAATACACTTCTGGAGCTCGAAACGCTGATCTTGCCGGATGTGTGCCCAGAAGAAAGGCGGGTGTGCTATTCAGGCCAGATGATGGATATAATTGAGCAGATAGATGTGTTGTGGCGCTTTCAGCCCTTCTGCCTGCGTGGTCTAGTAGAATTTCTCATTTGCCTTTAGCAACGGCACGGGTTCGACTCACGCAGGTACATTATTTGAGGGGGCCTGCCCTCGTCCGCGCGAACTCATAGCCCGCTTTGTGTTTCCCGGATCATTTCCCGAGTTTTCGCTCTGCGGATTAATTTTTACCCTTTGCAATTGAGAATGGCTAAACCATATTTGCGAACTCGATTGACGTTCCCGCCAGAGTCAGCAACCGGCGGTAGTGAAATTGATGGCTATCGAGGACCTGCTGCACTAGACGCATGCTAGAGGGGCAAAGGACTGGGTGCACTTGCGCGTCGCGTAAAACACGCGTGCCACGCCCACACTGAGATTAACATCAGCGGCTACGTTCGATGTCAATGAGCTTGTCTTCTTCACCATATATCACAAACCGACCTGCATCTTTCAAATAAGAATTGGGCCTTTGTGACCGTCTAGGCAATCAACTGGCCGGCCTGGTGAGGCTACTTCTGCCGGCGAGTCCGTGCCCCTCAGCGGTGACATCAAGGATGCATTCGGCTGCATTGAGCATAGCATCAGGTTCCAGCGACCTGACTTAAGTTAGTCGACTTCCGAAATATTCTAGTTATGAGAATGTACTTACCAGGATCAGTCGTAAATAAGCCATGGTGGCAGCTTTAAATGACCGTCTGCATCAGAACACAGGCAAGGCACTTTGACGCTGTATATATTCAATCTAGCACCAACTATCAGCAGCTGGTGCAATATGGTCGCTCGCAACTTACCTTGTTCGCGGCCTAGACGAGGTCCCCGGCCGGCTATAATGCACTTTCTCGATCGGACTCACCCGAACGGCTGGATTAGGACTGTGTTTCACTAAACTCTATGTTAACATAATTTCTGTTGACTGAGGGTGGTATAAACTTGCCGTGAGGCAGCCTGGCATCAGCATAGAAAACCAGGGATGAGGTAGCGGGCTCATCTCGACCACACGTGGAGGGCCCGGGATCACATCGTTTCACGGGGAATGGATGTAGCCGTACCTGCCAATGCACGATTCTGGGCAGATCTTCAACCATGTAAGGGCAAAGTAACACTGGACGAGAGTTTCGTGGTATTTTGTTTGCGACAAACTTCGACCTGGCCTCAAAATGGCCGCTCTCGCGGCGAGGGATCTATGGTGAATCTAAGCATGGGCTGTCCTAGCGCTTGCTCAGCTGCAATCAGGGGTTGAAATAATTGACCTTGAGACTATTGCCAATAGTTCGCTTCAGTCTGCTGATTGATGCTCAACGGGGAATTAGTTGTTTTTTTTCCGCGACCGTCAGGTCTCGGCCTCTTCTCGTTGTCGCAGATGCTCTGATGACTCGCTCGATTAACAGTGAGGCTGGTTCATGGCTACCGACAAGCCTTCGGATTGGACGTGGGCAGGATATTCATAGCCGTCGAAATATTGCCAAAAACTACTGCATTGACTGTCAACCTTTATTCGGACAGGGTAATGCTGAAGAAACGAAATGAAAACACTCTGGAATTTTACCATATGGCTAATCAGAGGGCATCAGGCCTTCCTGAATTGGGCTTGCTTAATGCGCCAGGCGAAGTGGCCGTGTCAACCACGTCCTCAGAGACAATAAAGACGCAAGCGTAGTGAGATTCAGTGGCTTGGCCCAACAGGTTGTTGAAGCTGATTTAGTTTCGAGCACGAGGGGGGAACATAGCTCGGTCCGGTCGAGTGTAAAATTGAAGCTCGCCCTATGAAAAAAAAAGAATCGTCAGCGATATCTTCTGAAGAACAGAGAGCCACGAACGGATAGCACTCGTAAGGAGATTAAAATGCAGTACCCGGGTTGGGAATGGATAGGGGCAAAGCACTAGCGTGACTTACAAGACATTGAGCAGGTCGCGATAGAAATTTTGCCATCCTCTAGAAAGGCCCGTCAGCACATGATATCTGCCTTGAAAATTGCTGCAGTTTTTGAACTTACATTTTCAGTTATTGATGTCCACTGCAGGGAAATGTATAAAGGATGGCACCTGATTATCTTCAATCATTAACAGGTAGCTTATGAAGGTAACTTGTAACTCACCGTGCTCGCAGCTTGGACCATGCAGGATCCCGAAAGGTTCTTCAATGGGTGCTCAGCGGAATAGCGGAGACGGGGCTGATATTGAGCGTCCTCCGCGTTAGCATAATTTCAAATGACTGGGCAGCTACACTCACTGTTCGAAGACCTGATTATCATGAATGGTTAGGCTACTGAGATACAGCAGATTAGTTCAATTCATTGCGTGATTTGGAGGTCAATCGATACCAAAGAGTAGCCGCGGAGACGAATCATATTTGACACTCTTTGTTCCTGAATCACAAAGGAATCCTTGTGGACGACTGTTCAGCTGGCAAAGGACCGGGTATTTATAGCAATTCAGCCAGGCATTAACTCTGCGCCAATGAGATCATCATTGTGAATTGCGAGGGCTCAAACACAAACTTCTCTTCAATGATAACTGGCTCAACATTTCATCATTGGTTTAATGCAATTCTGAGAGAAATTGAATTTTGCGCCTGGTGATCCAGACAGAAAGTAGAAAACGTTTCTGGCTGTTGGCATTGTTTAAATAGTCATGAGGATACCGCAGATAAAAACCGATGACAGTTATCAACATTCACCACCGTCAGTCCGCCCTTTATTGCGACGGACAAGGTGACGAGATCATGCGATTTCCTTTCACTCACCGGCGATGAGCCCGTTACTCCACGCAACAGCAACTCACCAAAGGCAGGCAGACCGCAGGTTTGTTCGTTGCCTACCTCGCATATCGGAGAAAATGCATCACACCTACACAACATCAAGTAGATACAAGCTATAGTGGAGCGCGGGACTGATCCATACAGCCCCGTCTCACAACAGAGTCTCTTGTTTAGTGAGTCAGATTATAGATCAATTACAATTCTGTAGAACAAACCTTTGCGATCAGTCTCGTCTTTGGGTATGGCAATACCCACATCAATATCCTGGGAACGAGGCGGAGGCGGGTGGGTACTCGGAAAATATAAGCCAATTAGTGCCATCGATAGCCCACATGCTCACAAGTCCTCTTGAAATAATTGGCTCATAATTGGCCTTGGCTCCCAGGAGCCTGTGGGTCTTTGATTAGAATGCTATAATTGGATACCACTAATAGAGCGGACAAGATGAGCCAATAGGTGCCATGATTAGTCCAAATTATCCACAAAGCCTCCGTAGAAATGATTGGTCTAAATTTAGCTATGAACTCCTGGGAGCCTGACCTTACCATCACACCTACCGTAATTGGATAGCCCGTCAGCAATATCCACATCGAATTCCCGGGAACTGAGTGCATATGTGAAATTGGGTACCGCTGCAAAGAGTTATAAGCCAATCAGAGCCATGAATGTCCATAGACGCCTAAGGCCGGAAGCCTGTGATCTGGAGCCAAGTTGATTTACAATCAACTTGATTGTCTGTATAGACATCTCGGAGCTAATTCCGATGGTGCGGCTTGCTTCCTGATCTGTACAGCCTCATCTTACGATATATTTCCTTGTTCCCCCGCCTGATCTTAAAGTACCGATCTTCTTTTCTTAGGCTTTTAGAAATTTCGTGGATTGACAGATGGCTTCAGCACAAGAGCTATATAACTACTGCTGTGCTCGACCGTAACATTGTTGTCATGTGAAGTTATAAACATCCCCTGTGTCAAGCTAAAGACAGGAAATGGAGCTAAGCGGGCCGGCATTGTAGGATCGCAGCTCTCCACAGATTGTCTTTCACCAGGCCCCTTCATATACAATCATTCTTTTGTGGTGTAAATCTAGCCTACATGAAAAAGCTACGACCAAGCTTTACAGCCATCTCACACCCCTTCTCCACTTGCAAACCATTTTCACTGGAATCAATGATATAATTGATTCATCATTGACAATTTGAACTTGCTGATCTTTCAGAATGACGTAATTTGGTTCACCCAATGTACATCAAGCCATTTATTGCCCTTTACGCAACAGACTGGCTATATATCGCCCGCATTGTACAGATTATGAGTTGAATCTAGTCTGTGTCAGCTCTTCCATAATGTAAGCTTAAATGGTGGAAAATTACCTCAAGCGCAATTTCCCATTTCCATGAAATGCCCTCTGGTGCAGATCAGGAACAAGCCATAGGTCAATGGATCCAGGAACATTGAAAACTATACGGAGTACAGTAACCAGTTCTCCTTTGGGCCATTGCACCGAGAGATCTGAATCGATCCATGAACACATAAGCGGATCTATGTAGATGGCATCACATGGTAAAAACAAGTCAAGTTTACTCGGTCGGACATTCTCCATCAACATCTAGGGTAGAGTTTCGGTGCTTGTGTTCTGCGTTCTGCAGAATCTGCAGACTCTGCGCCAGATGCATCATAGCGCAGGCCTTACTGTGCATAGTGCGTGCACTAGATACCATGCCATGGATGGTGCCTGAGTCGAAGACCTTTTCAGCGGGGATGAGTGTTGTGATATGAGGCTGGTGCAGATCAGGAAGTAAGCCGAACTTATGGTCTCCAGCATGCCACTTCTAGCAGTCCAGGAGTTTTCTGTCGCAAACGACTGATTCGCCAAGCAAAGATTGGTCTGTCAATTGGAACACACGCGAGCACAATGCAGGACATGTGATATACATGGACTCGGCTTGTGGACTCAGCTCCGGAGTGGAGTTCATTTGGAAGCCAAGGCCTTAATCCACGGCGATAATAATAATAATAATAACCAGAAGAAGAAAGTAGGATTTTTCGGATGTTGCATCCCGTTTGGAATTAGCACGAGGTTGGTAGATTATAAAAGAGGACAGCTCTGGATTTGGTCTCAAAACTATCCGCAGGATCGGCCATCTATACACACACAAAATGAAGGCTATATTGCACATTTTACTCCTCACTCAGACAAGTCTCGGATGTCAACTATCCTCCTTATTCTCAAGCTTCGGACCATTTCACGAGGAGAACCAGCAAAATCTCAAAGATCATTCTCGATCTGCTCCAGCCTACCACACACTCCCATCCTGGTACACATCTACACTTCTTGCCCGACGCCTTCTACACAAGTCTACCGTCGGAACCATTGCAACAGTATTTCCCGATAAAATTGTTCCCGACCCAGCTCACCACTGGCAACCCCCGTCAAGCCTCGCTAGCCTACCTGTTGCACTACCGGAGTACATCGCAGCATGCTCGGACTCAGGCAACCCCACCGTCCTCGGCCTTGATCTTGGCACGACCTTCAAAAACGTGGCTTTCGGCTCCAATGTCTCTTTATCAATCGACTGGTGGGACCACCTGCCAGCCACCAAGGTCCCCGGGCTACGCGGTTCCAGTCGCGCGGCGCTACCACGTGCCGTGCTGATGGGATATATGGACCCGTACCCAATTCCACTAGATACAGACACGCGTTTGGGGCTAGAAAAGTGCTTTCTGGCGGCGCATCCCGACGCACTAGCATGGCTGCCAGGTTCGGAGCGTGCGGCACACTCAGGGTTCTGGGCACAGTTGGTGGTCCAGCAGGTGATGTGGATTGGGGGTTTCGGAGATAGGGCTCTAATCGGGTGGGTCAATATGACCGAGTGGAGCGGTATTCAGTTCGGGCCGAATGAGCTCGGTGTGGGTGATGGCAGGGGTTGGGGGGATGTTAGCTTGCCTGGAGAAAAGCATTAGATAGTTAAATAGTTGGACAGTCGGGTAAACAGGTAGAAGAAGGTCTTTCGTTGCAAGCTCACGGCGTATGACGAATGAGTTTGGGCCCAGGACCTGGAACCAAGTAATGCGTCCGTAGGTGGTTTTTCTTGGAGATTATTTTCCAGAAATGTGAACCTGGTTTTAGAGTTAAGATATCAAGATATCATAGAAAGCATACAAATTTTACCTTTAGATGACATAGTCCCCTTCATTATTGACGGAGGATCTCATATTTGTTACGATCAAGCTGCGCAAAAGCTAGTCACTCTCGAAGAACTCAGTTAAAAACACCGAAAGTCATATCTCAAACTCATACTAATAATCACTGAAACCAATGGCTGAACAGGCTCACACTTCCTACACCTGAAATATATGCAATTGCACCGCTATTCAACTCACCTAATCTTGCGTAGTCCAAATGGAAGATTTTCATCCGCCATGGGATGAGGCGGCGTCCAATCCACATTCCGGACCGATGCTTTCTGCCGAAAGAAGCGATACTTCTGTAGAATTCTTCTGTATCCAAACAGCAGAGCAATTCCAAAGGCTACAGTGGCCACAGAAGCAACTACAATACCCGCAATCGCCCCGCCTGAAAGACCGGAGCCGGAGCCGGAGCTCTTCTGGGTTGTCTCACTGGCAACCGAAGTTGAATCCGATACTCCTGTGGCAGTAGAGCCAGCCGCAGTCGTAGTAGTCACGGCGGTGAAGTCGTCCGTGGTCACATTAAAGCAGGGGACCTGGTAGGTAAATTTGCTCGCCGGAACATAGGTGATATCCGCACATGCATAGTAGGTTTCGTTTTTGTTGGTATCGAAATCCGAGGTGTATTTGATTTGAAATGTTGCGTTCATTCCCTCTTCCACGTCGATGGATGGGTTGGGGACGGAGTAGCATTCGTGTCCTGGCTTGATGTCGGAGATGCTGGAGCCTTCAATGAAGGACTCGAAGTCGTCGTTTGTAGTTGGATCTGAGGGCGAGTCAGTCAGGATAAATATAAAAGACAGTACGAGCTTACTGCTTTTGTGGGAGATGGCAACCTGCGCGTTCCATGACTCGTCTTGGACCACAAGTGCGAGCTGACCGTTGACTTGGGTGTTGTCAGTATATGTGCTTTCGAGGGTTTTCAGATAGATATGCTCTTACTCATTGGAAAGTTTGTTCTGTTCACGGCCCCGGTTGATGAGCCACACGGCGCGGCATTATCATATGCTGCACCCCAGAGACGATCAGGTGGCCACAGAAAGGCAACCGGGCCCATCTCAGTGCTAGCTTCTTCGCCGTGAGCACATACTCCAATAACAGAGAGAGTAATTAATGCGAGGTAGTTCTTCATTATCAACAAACTTAATCTGGCAAGAGGCGAACAAATAAGTTTTGGAAGGTAAAGACGGAAAACCGAGAGACATTGGAGTTTATAAATTGGGGTTTCCTAACCATCCCGACCTTGCTTGCAAACTGTGAGTCATCTGAGAGATGTATGATTATGTCTTTGGCTGGGCCGAATCCACTTCCAAGGGGTTGAATAATTTCTAAGCGCGTGACGACCAGACTTTTTTCAGGATGTCAGAATCGGGAATCCTCTCACCGAAGGGGCATATCTGATAACCGTTAGTGAGCTGTCAATGTCGACCAATGAGCCAAGACGTTAGTCCATTTTTGATAGCTTGCCAAGGAAAGCAAGTGAATCAATTGAAGCCGGAAAACCCCGTGTACAAAGAGCGTAGAGAGAAAAATGGGATCTTGATCAGATTAGATCAATCAGATAAGATGGGTGGGTCTCGCTTAGCGGCATCGCTTCCACAATTTCATCTTGCATCCTTGGCTCATGTGAGACATGGCCGAGACGGGTAATTTGTTCCGAAAATCCGCGAGCCTCCGAGATCTCGTATGACCTCGGTAAGCTCTAGATGAGACGGTCCAGCCAAGTCATTATATTTTAGTAACATTCACAAGTCTATAAGTAGCTCCTGAAATGCCGTGGCCTCGGTGCCTACATCGTCAGTCTTTACCGTTAAAAACAGTGAATCCTACATCTTTTGATTATTTTTTAAACACCATCATGCACCTTGTCACTCTTATTTCTTTTGCCTGCACTGTAATTAGTGCCAGCGCATTCCAATTTCCAGAATTTGTTCCTCTGCACCGGCGCCAGGAAGCGGGAACGCCTGCATACGAATGTCATGCCAACTGCGGTATGCTCCATATCATATAACCCTATAATGCGACTCCTTGACTGACCAACAAGGCGGTGTGATTGTCGACGCTCGTACGGATGGTTACTGTGATTCTGAGGATTTCACCATCGAGCTGGCTGATTGTTTGGCTTGTGCTCTTGAGTATGACATCTGGCAATACTACGGGACCTCTGTGTCCGAGGCTGCTGAAGCATGCGGATTGACCGCCACCCCCGCCGAAGCATCATCCACTACTACGTCTGACAGCGCTAGCGCTACGGAGACTGCCGAACAGAGCGCTACTTCTGTAGTCGACTCCAGCATAATTACTGATACGGCAAGCTCCGCCACTCGTACCACCATCATCTCGACCTCGGTGCCAAGCTCCAACGGTGTGCGTATCTCTTCTCGGCCATTCTCGTCGATTCCTTCGGCTACCGCTGCTAGAAGCTCGGTCAGTTTCGCTTCTACTTATAGGGCTTCCAGTTTGCACAGACAGCTAACTTATTATAGGCCGCTAGCACTCCTTCTTCCAGCACCCTGTACAGTGGTGCTTCATCCACCACATATGGTCGATCACTTCTTGGTGTTTTGGCAGGATTTCTTGTTGCAAACTTCATGTAGCCGGATCCGCTACGTATATGGATGTATGTGATTCTCCCTGGAGAAAGATTGAGGGTGGTCAGAAGAAATATGGATAGTATGTCTTCATTTCTCTCTGTGTCAGGTCTCTTCACCTGTCTAGTCGTGCCTATTGAACAATGGGTTATTTTTAGTATTAATAGTGGACAACTAGAGCTTGTGTCATCTGCAATTTTTGAGAGTATAATTATTGTTTAACATCCGATGCTTCGTGGGAGATCAGCGCCTCCCAGAAGCAGCGCCCGATATCACCTGCTTAAATTGAAATGTGTCTGTGTTTTGTGCATAATTTGCTTCTAGTTTGATAATTATAAATTGCCTGTTCTGCCTTGCTAACGATATATGACAGCCACAGCACGATGTGCGCTTCTCCCCACCCAAAGCGGTTTTTCATAGATCTGTATTTGTCAGTTCATCATATAGGAAACGGGCAATTATTCTTCGAAAATGTTACTTATGAAGAATCTACTCCGCCAGGTTGTTTGCCAATTCTCGGCATGTGTGTCGTTTGTCGGAATCGGCCATACGTCACTGGGCGATTCAGATTGCCGACTTATGTTCCGGTTTCAGACAGACGATGATAAGTTAAACATCATAGAAAGTTTTCTGAGAACCCTTCTTTCGGTACTACTATCCACTGTTCTCTTTGGGAGGTTGATTTCCGAGGAGCAATGCGTGGGAGGATGGCTGTTTGCTGACCAGGCGCATGGAGAGTCGTTGCGCCTTGAAAACCAGCCTACCACCACACATTTTGATGAAAGTGAGGATGGAGATGATCCAAGGCCGCAGTTCATGAGTTCTGAGCCTATTTCTCGCAACGCGCCTCCTGAGGGCTTGTCTCATCTTACAGCGGTCATGATATACGGTCAGATGTCTTTCATTACCGGTGAAATACTGCGCCTTGCATGAAGCTGGATCAACTTCACGATTGTCGAATACTCGGTCGCGTACGCAGAGGCCAAAGAATGTTTGATTTTCTCTGTAAGACGTATCTAAAGGGAGGCTAGCTTAACATTGGTGATATTGCGGTAATTGGATACGACCTGGAGCCAGCAGGGCGCATTCTTGGGTTACAGGAATTCTAGAGCGATAGTACCCTTGATCTCAGAATTTTACATTACCCTTTCAAATATGTATAGCAGTGATTTGATGACAATTGAAGTATGTTGACATGTATTTGGTTTCGTAGGTATATGAAATAAGACACTATTATGTACAAACTCCCAACACTGTGTGTTGCGCAAAAATCGCCTATACTTGATTTGGCATCTTGAAATCGCTTCTCAGGACACAGAACAGTGGTAAATGAAAATGTATTTCAGTAGATAGCGGGCAAGGTCCTATGCAAAGATTCAATCAATGTCTAGGGTCCAAATCCGTCACTTCCAATGACAAGGAAAGATAATATTAAGCAATATTTCTCGGATTCCATTCAGATAATTATTTTTCCTGAAGAAAGGTATAGTCGACTAAAGCAACATCTGAGTTTTGAACACAGTACAGCACCTTTGACTTCCAATGAGCGAATACCGTGTGCGATATAAAGAGGCGCCAATCGATCATTGAAAGAAACATTGTTTCGTTTCTATTTATCTCCTTTGGTTTAAGTCCATAGAAGGATGACCAGCGTCGCGTCGAGTGCCCATAATCCTGAGTGAATTTCCAACCCAGCATAAGAGCTGCGAGGAACATTCGCCGCTGACACTGTAGAGGTTGAAGCTCTTGCGACACTTGAAACGGCTTAGTGGTAAACTTTTGCTTGATCATGAACCGCAAGAGTGCTAGATAGTAGAACGTCGCGATAATTGTATAAGAGGTTGTATGAGATCTGTGAAGGATATTCTTCAGGTAAAGCCGAATAGCCGGTGAAGTTTGATGTTTTTTCTTCGCAAGAGGAGACCAAAGGGTAATAAGAAACTTTTCCGAGAAATCTAACAACGTAATCAGATGAGCATCATGAGTATTCTTGCTACTAGATAAATTATAAGATCTTCGATAAAGGCAAGCCGTCTGATTCCTTTTTGCTCTTTTAAAAATTGAGCCATCAAAATCAAATCCAGGAATAGCTAGACAGAGAGATGGGCACTTTGCCTGAATTTTGGTGGACAGTAAAGGCGGAATTTCTATTTAGGGCATCTTTCCCGTTAGCATTGTGTGAAGTGGCCGAGCATCAATACACGTACCTATCAGGAGCTCTCTTCGCAATCGAGCCAAGGTAAGCTGGGGGCGTCGTTCTGGATTCAATCGCAAAGACAAGTCCAGCTGAATTCCATACCAGAGAAAAAGTATGTAAGTAGAGGCTAAGAGCTAGTTCGAGGTATTCCGATATTAATTTCGTCGTCTCTAGGAGATATCAGCGGCTGTGTGCGATACAGTACTTTCAATCGTGTTCGCAGAAAGAGTCGGCCAAGGGGACAAGGGCCCATTCTTTCTCGGTTCAGGCCTGATTAGAGGATGTCGCGATATCAGCTCTCTTGGCGACGAGAGGCTTGGTTTATGTGACTTGCCTCATCACTTGAACAGCTGCAACAACCGTCGATAATTGAGGGGAGAACCAAGAAAACTGGCCCTAAAATTATGACATGTTGAATACTGCCCGGTCAATTTCGTTCTGCATCCCGTGGCTCTACTAGTTTGCCCTCGGTGATGAACCATACTAGATGCTTTGCTAGTGTGGCGGCATCATTTTCTTGTTGATCAACAGCTCTATTCCCGCTGCAACCGCGTCACCCATCTCAAACCCCAAATCAACAAAGATCCGAAAAAACGCCGCTACCTGTGCAAACTGTAGCCAGGCTTCCTCGCAGTGGAATGGTATCTGGCTAAAGGTTGAAGAAAGTAGGAGGCTGAGACCTGAGGCCTTGAATAACAGTCATTTGAGCTCGGAGTCGGCTTCACCAGGATGTAAATAGTGGGAACCTCCTCTTGGTTCCGCAGCGAAGGACTATTTCCACCTGAAATGAAGATGAACAATTCCGCGGTTGGGGTGTCAAGAAGCTAGGGTCGTGGCTTGGTACCTGTATAATATTGATAGGGCGTTCTTTGAGTGAAAGAAAGCGCTCATAATCGGTGAAAGGAATGGAATGGCATGACCAGTTGCCGCCTCACCTGTCGCAACAACGTACGTTCCCACTGTGATGAATGTTGTAATGCGTCGTCGATGCTTCTCTATCGCATCCCCAGGACTATTCAAATGGTGCCAACTGTGAGAAACCATTTTTCATATACTGGATTTCCGAGTAGGAAATGCATTGCCTCCTAGCTCTGCGTTAAATCAATGATGAAACTTTGAGCCAGCTGCAATTAGAGGGTCGTCTGTGTTTATGTCCTCACAATTTATAATGATCATTGCGTCAATGTAAGCAGAACGACCGGCTGAAATGCTATAAATACCCGACCCCTCGTCAGGAGAACAGTCGTTCGCAAGCATTCCTTTATCACTCTGGGGCAAAGAATATCGATCGCTTTTCGTCTTCGCCAGCAACACTTCGGTGTGGACTGACCTCGAAGTCATGCACTTATATTAAGACTGACCTTTTGCATCAAACTAGCCTGTAATTGTTCGATGCTGAAGTCTTCAAACAGCAAGTGAGTGTAGATGCCCCATCATTTGAAATCATGCTGACATGGAATATGCTCAAGACCAGTGTTCCTCTTCTATCGCTCTAGGAAACCATTTGACGGAAATTGGATGACCTCAAAATGATCGAAGCTGCGAGCACGGTGAGTTATGCAGTGCCTTCATAAGGTGCCTACCGATGATCATTGATAGATCGAAGTCGTCCCTTACACAGCCGCTTCGACCTTGCCAGAATGCAGTGAACAGTAATAGCTAACAGCGTAAGTTTTCATCAGCGGCAATTTGGAGAGCATCCATACTGTGCTAACGATTCCCTGTTTCAGAGGGCAGACGTTCGATCAAGAGCCGCTCGATCTCTTCTAAGTCACCCTGGTGCGTTGCCTCTGCCTATTCCCATGGCAGGGGCTGCATTTGGATCTCGTTGCGGCTGCTATTTACTAGAGGCTTTATCTTGTCGTGCTCTCCGTCCATCATGGAAGATTGCTGATGCCTCTTTCCAGTCATAGGACATATGCCAATCTCGTACTCGCCACGACCGAGCCGCACTTCCCCATCGTCCTTGAAACCAAGTATGCACGACAGGCCGAGCCACTGCCCCTCGTTGTGTTTCTGCTTTGCTCTTTCAGGACACCTGCTCGGAATGCCTATTTCGCTTGTGTTGATAGAAAAAATCCAGGGAGCCTCAGTCCCCTTCGATCAACATATGGTAAAGTTCCAACATGTTTTTATCTCTCCCGGCTTCATCATGTCCGACCAATGGTTTACTGTCATTATATTAGCTTCCGTATCCCGACGGCGCTGCACCTCTTGTCCCATATCCGATTCGAAGCCTCGACGACGGCATCATCCGGTCCCATGCCAGGCCGAGTGGGCTATCCAGCAGCCAGCGACAACGAAGAGAAGCCGAACATCGACGACCACTGAGAAAGACCACGGTTTGTCCGGGGATAACATCAATCAGCAATGAATCGAGCTTTTGGCGACAGACTGAGGGCCATCTCTATCAAGCCCTGGTTGCAGCTGAGCAAGCGACAAGCCAGGCCGCGTCACTGGATCTACCCTGGAACTCTCGCCGCGAGAGCAGTCGTTTCAGGTCAATTTCTAATTTATCCTTGACCAAATACCATAAATCACTCCGGCGATACTTTGTCTTGACATGTTTGGAAATTTGCCTGGCGCACAAACAGCAATATGAAACGGCTATCCATTAGCAGATATTGCCAACATCCATTTCCCGCGATACGGGATAATCCCGGGCCCTCTGACGTGATAGAGCTGACGCCTCTAGGAAAACCTTCAACCATGTCAGGGCAAAGTATTACTAGAGAGACTCATGGTATAAGGTCTAAGGAAAACTTGGAATTGACCCAAAACGACTGCTCTCGCGACGAGAAATCTGGGATACATCCAGTGCTGCGGCCTGGCTTATCGCTTGGCTGCAATCAGGGCTTGGCAGAACTATCGCTCTGCTTTTATAAAAACCATGGCCTTTCTCGGTGGTCGTCGATGCTAGACTTCTCTTCGTTGTCGTCGGATAATGCGATGGCTCACTCAGTCTCGTATGGGACCGGGCTATTGCTGCCGACGAGACTTCGGATCGGACGAGAGCAAGAGGTTCCATAGCCGTCGGAATACGGTAAGTTCCTAATGCAGTGACAGTAAACCTTCGATCGGACAGGATAATGCTGGAGGGGTGAAAACAATTTGGAACGCTACCGTATGGCTAACCAGAGGGCCTCAAGCCTTCTTGGATTGGGCCCGCTAAATATGCCATGCGAAGTGGCCGTTTCAACCAAGTCTTCAGAAACAACAAAGGCGCAAGCGCACCGGAAGCCAATGGCTTGGCCCATCAGCTTGGTGCACCTGGCTTGGGTTCAAGGACGATGGGGGAATATAGCTCGATCATGTCGAGTGCAATATCGACATTCGCCCTATGACCACAAAGGGACATCAGCGATATTTTCTGAAGAACGGAGAGCCCCAGACAGATAGACTCTGCAGTTCCGAGTGTTGGCAATGGGCAGTGGCAACGCACCGGGGTGACTTACAACATTCTGGCAAGGTCAAACGGCTGCATGAGGGGTGACTTCGATCTATCATTAATTATTAGTAGGCAGCTTTTGAAGGAATTTATAACTCACTATTCCTGCAGCTCCGATCAGTTTGAAGGTCATCCAGGATCCGTCTAATGGCTACTCAGAGGAGTGGCGGAGGCGGGGCTGATCTTACAATAGGCCTTTTCCATGTCAGCATGATTTTAAATGACGGGGCAGCTCATCACGACCCAGCGATCAAAGACATCTAGGAGAATGAATCCTTCGTGCAAGAT